ATCTCACATCAGTCAGAATGGCAGTTATCAAGAATACAAACAACAATTAGAGTTGGCAAGGATGTGGTGGAAAAGGCACACTCATACGTTGCTGGTGGGACTGCAAATTGGTACAACCACTTTGGAAAGCAATATGGAGATTGCTTTTAATACTTGGAATGACCCATCTATCCTACTCCTTGTTCTATACCCAAAGGACCTAAAATCAGCATACCATAGTAACACAGCCTAAGAGCTGTATAGCAGCTCCTTTCACAATAGCTAAACTGTGGAAACAACCTAGATGCCCTTCAATAGATGAATGGATAAAGAAACTGTGATATATATACATGATGGAATAATTTTACTCAGCATTAAAAGAGAATAAAATTATGGCATTTGCAGGTAAATGAATGGAGTTGGAGAATATCATGCTAAGCGAACTAAGCCAATCCCAAAAATCAAAGGCTGAGAATGTCCTCTCTGATAAGTGGATGCTGATCCACAATGGGGGGCAGGGCATGGGGAAAATGGAGGCAAAGGGGAGGTGAGGGGATTTGGGGGCAGTTGTGTACAATGAATCAATATGCATTCTGCTGTCATGTATACCTAATTAAAAAAATATATTTATTTAAAAAAGTTTCTTTCTTAGATTTTGGTACCTTTTATATATGACTGAAGTCATGAATTATTTAGATTGTGGGGGCTCCTTTTAACGATATTGAGAATGTATAATATCTCTATGAAAGCACAACTGTTTAGGTATAATTACAGTAGATTTTAGAAGAATGTTTCAGAATGTTAAAGTAGCCATATGAAGTGGGTTTGGTGTATTTGATTTGTAAGTAGAGAATTGATTTTTTAGGGAAGTATGGAGGTTACAAATCTTTTGAGGGCTACATTTATTTCATTCTGTATATAAATTAACTAATAGTATTTATTGCCTCTTTTCACTTATTAATTTGTGATTATTAGAATACTTTGAGTGCATGAGTAAACAATCTGTGTTCAGTTTTTAAAGCTAAATGTGTTTTGTAAATTCTGTTGTACATAGTGTTATCATATAACAATGCTTTTGTTGTTTAAAGAGGAAACTCAGTTGCTGAAAGTTAAATTATTCATATGCCTTAGATTATGGTGCATCATCATTAGTCTTTAAGGCCTCTCTCTTCCTCTCCTTCTCTTCTCTTACTCTGTATTTTAATTTTTAAAAATATTTTTTAGTTGTAAATGGACACAATACTTTTATTTATTTATCTTTATGTGCTGCTGAGGATTGAACCCAGGGCTTCACACGTGGAAGGCGAGTGCTCTATCACTGAGCCACAACCCCAGCCCCTGTATTTTAATTTTTATTATGGAAATTGTCAAATAAACAAAAGCAGAAAAAAGAAAAGAAAAACAGTATGATGAATCCGCTAACATATGGCCAATCTGTTTTCCTCTTTGACACTAATCACACACAGCCTGAATTTTAAAGGAMATTGCAAGGCTCCTCTTTCATTTCACTTACTTATTCTGTTCTACCTCTCTTTCCCTTTTTCATTCTTTCCCCCCAACCCTTCGTCTAATGTTTAATGTGTCTCTTCTGGCAAATTTAATGTTATTTTATGTGCATTTATATAAACCACGTTATAACTCGTTCTATTAAGAATTTTCACTCAACTTTTTAAAAGATCTACCATATTAAATGTACATATGCACTGTTGGTACCAACTGCTATATAGTATTCATAGTGAGCATCTACCACATTTTATTTTTTTTGTTCTCAAAGCCATAGATTCCCAGATTGCCCCAAATTGCCTTCTACAATAGATACTGTTTTAGTGTATAGATCCATTTGTAAACCTGTGTGATATTTTTTGGGGGTTATATGTTCAAGACAGGAAGTGCCAGGTCACAGAGAAGGCAGATTTAATTTGACCATGTATTGCCATTACTTTCTAGAATGGTAGCAAATCTGCAGAAATTTGTGTTTTCACATACTTGCTAACACTTGGCATTATGTAATTTTTATCTTGCTAATAGTTTTACCTTATCTGTTTAATTTGCATTTCTCTGATTACAAATGAATTTGAGCATCTCTTTGATGCTTTGCTAGCCTTTGGGGTTTTCTTACATATAAATTGCCTGTTTATATATTTTATCCATTTTTCTTTTGGGACTGTTGTCCTTTTCTTGTGGATTTTCAGGAATTTCTTACACATTGTAGTTATTTATTTATTTTTAGTTGTAGATGGACGTAGTATCTTCATTTATTTATTTTTTTGTGTTGTGCTGAGGATGGAACCCAATGCCTCCCAGGTGCCAGAGAACACTGAGCTACAACCCCAGCCCCACAATCTAGTTATTAACTACTTACAGGTTTTAGACATTGAAAATAACTTCTGTCATTTTGTCAGAAGTTTATGAACTACATCCATTGTGTCCTTTGCTTAATAGAAATTTTAAATTTTGATGTAATACATTTCATGAGATTTGTTGCCCTGTTGTTTTGCTTATGAAACTCAAAGAATTTCTTTTCTGCTCCTGTAGCAGTAACAAATTTTCCTTTTTTGTTAGGTTCCCGATTTTACCTTACACACGTAGATACATAGTTTGTGTAGGTATTTCCTTTGGTATTTCTTTGTATCTTAAGCAGTTTGGCTGTTGCCCTTTAGTTATGTGGTGTGGTTTTATCCCAACCTTCTCTTTATACATGAGTCTGATCTGTCTTGGAGCTTTCTTATTACATTGATTTATATGAGAGGCTGCATAATTAGTGGTTATTAAGAACATCAACTCTGACTTTACTGCTTATTAACCCAGTGATCTTGGGCAAGTCTCCTAACCACTCTGTACCTCATTTCCTATTCTACATAATAGAAATAATGCTACCTATTCCCCAAAGTGGAATTAAGATTTTTAAAGTGCCTATTAGCAGTGATTGTTATGTAAATACGTCTATTAAACTTTTTGATACATTTTATTGCTACATATATACATTGTATATATAAATGTAAGCTATTTGTTCTTTTGGTATACTTTTTTTATTACTATGCCTTTATGTATATTTTATAATTTATGAGAGGACAGTCCTCCAACTCTTGCACATTTTATGTTTCCCTTTAAAAGTTGACTTAGCTATTCCAGGATTTATGTTTTTCAGTTTAAATTTCACAATACTCTTCTTGAATGTGCATGTTTTTCTAGATTTAAATTAGTCTGACAAAATGCCAAAGAGTTGTTGATTATAATATAGGATAGGTGATTATTTGGGGTGAGCCGATGTAACTTGACCAGATCTGATGAAACTTAACTGCTTGTAAGAAACTTGGTAGCTGTCCTGGCTTACTGTTTACTTGTTTATACCATAATAAGTTTGTTTCCTCATTTACTCATTCCTGTTCTTTCTCTTTTGTTTTTGTATCCTTTGTTTCTTGCTCACTTTATTAATGACAAATGTCAGAAGATTATGAAATTAACATAATTTTTATGTCATTATTATTGATACCTATCTTTCTACCTTCATACCATCATCCTACCTTCCTTTTAATGTACTTCTTTTAATCTAATTTGTGTGAAGCTTTTTGCATATAACGGCCATTCTGTATAATTTTATTTATATCTTGCTACATGAAAACTTTTTGGATCATTGCACTGATATTTTTTGAATAAAAACTTTTTACATAGCCAAAAGTCTTGAATGAAGTTTTCTTAATTTCTTTAGACTCCACAAAACTTCAAAATTTTTAACAATACAATAGGATAGAATCAATAATTTTACTTTGCATATGGATCACCTGGGTTTATATCAATGTTTTGTCACCTAGGGTTATGTTACCTTGAATAAGTTACTAAACATCTTTATTCCTTAGTTTATGTTTTAAAGTGCTTTGCATAGACTGATACATAGTAGGAACCCAGTAAAGATTTCATTTTATTTATTTGTTCATTCAATATGTATTGAGCAGGTTCTATGTGTTGTAACTATCATATGAAAGTAAACAAAATAAGCAAAAATCATGGACTTCTTGGAAATTACTTTATGTTTGGGAAGAGGGACTGGACAATAAATGAGATCTTGAGCATGTCAGATATAGATAAATTGGCATGGAAAAAAATAAAGCAGGAAAGGAGTGCTGGATAAGGAAGTCCTGAAAGACATGACATCTCTGATAGATGAGACTTTAAGGAATTTCCAAAGTTGCCTATTTGGATATTTGGAAACTGCAAGGAGAAGCAGTATGACTAGATTAAAAGGATGGGAGAAGAGGGAGGAAATGCCAGATAGAGAGATTCTTATAGGTCATTGAGTAGCTTTTCACCTTTACACTGAATATGGTGAGGCTTCTTGGGGAGTGACATGACCTGATTTACCTTCTAAAAGGTAAAACTGCTTTATGGGGAATAAGCCATTGGGGCAAGGAAGGAAGTAGTGAAAGCATTTAGGAGACTACTGTAGTAAGTTGTGCAAGTGATGAAAAGAGATTAGAACCTAGATGTATTTTATAGGAACTTTTAGTTAAAAAATATTTTCTGCTTTACGATGGCAGTACTATTTATTGAACATGCAAAACTTTATCTTTCTTTGAATTATTACAAATTTTGTGCTACTACAGTAGTAGTAGTGTAGAAGATACTTAGAATCTGTAATAGAAATCATTTAGTGTGACTCATATATTTTTCCTTATTCTGTCAGTGGTGACATGCACCTTAATTAATTTAGCAAACAAGTATCTATCTTCTGATAACTGAAAATTTAAACTCCCATTTGTAAGTATGCATGCATTTAATTTTTGAAAAATTATTTTAAAAATTGTAATAGTCTAAGATTTATGGTACCAGTATAAACCACAGGTATTAAGGGGAAGTGATAGCAGTGTTTTCTATAGGTCTGCAGTAAAGAAACTATTTATAATTGAATGAAAGAATTATTTATAATTGATGCTTGCAGTTATTAAACAACTTTTAAATAGAAGTTTTGAAATTTGAATTAATATTATCAAAGCAACTTACATTGCCTACTTTACATTTTCCAGGAACATCATTTACAGCGAGCTATTTCAGCACAGCAAGTGTTTAGAGAAAAAAAAGAGAGCATGGTCATTCCCGTTCCTGAGGCAGAAAGCAACGTCAACTATTACAATCGCTTGTACAAAGGAGAGTTTAAACAGCCCAAACAGTTCATTCATATTCAGCGTAAGTTTGTTAATTTATTGTTTTTTATTTGTAATTTAAATTTAACAATTAGTTAAAGTCTTTTGCCCAGAGATTTAAATTTTTCTGGTTATAAACACTTATTCATAGAAATGTTAAGTGTTAGACATTAAAGTCCTTCTACTTACATTTGAACTTGGAGATCATTGTGAGTTTTAGTAGCATTTGGAACATTTGATGTTCATGCAATATAGGGTTCTATATTGAACTTACACTTACAGTTAAAAGGGGATGGGTTACCATACCCAAATGAGATTTATTTTTAAAGTCCCCTTGGCCATAATTCACAAGGGTTAGAGCTGAATTTTCTGAAAATTTTCAGTGTTACATTCTATATGTACCTTCATCTAGTTTTTATAAAATTCTATCTAATTCTGCCTACTTAATATTCTGTTTTCCTAAAATGATCACTATCTCTAGCTTTAAAGCTATTTCAGCAACCTCCTAACTATAAGATTTACTATTCTTTCTCTCCCTTCTTTATTCTCTTCACAAAGTCTGCCTATGCCAGGGTGGTCTTCCTAAATTGTCAGTCTGAGCAAATTATGCTCTTGATTAAAATCCTACTGTTCTTCATTGTCAGTAGTAGGAGTGTTCAGCTGATTGTACATACAGATGCTGGTGTCTTGGTATCTTGTCAGATTTTTTTTTTTTTTTTTAAATTGTTGAGTAGCCAGTTAAAATAGAGATTCCGGGGTTCTACTTTATGCCTACCTAAAGTACTTAGCTCTTTGAAAATCCCTGGTTATGCAGACTGGTGATATGTATTTTTAAGTTTCCAGGTAATTCTGAAATACCACCAGATTTAAGACTGATTTTTAAGATTAACTGTTTTCCATTATTTCGAAGATGCATGTTTTTTATTTTTTAAAGATAAAAAATGGGATTGCATCTTGAATTACTGTTGTCCAGGATTGGTCTTATTCTTCAAAAGAGAACTTGCATTGTTTCTGCTTGGAATTTAGGGACATTACTAACCTGAGACCACTTGAAAGTCTTTGTTTCATTCATTTATTTATTTTTGGACTATAGTGTTGACTTTAATTCAGTCAACAGACCTGCTTGGAGTTCATTTCTCAGGGCAAGATTTTATTTCTCCTTCTACCTAAGGACAAGTTGGGAAATAAAAAGTTCTTCACTGTCCCATTTTGTATGGCTGGTTTATTACTTTATCTTACAAAGAGGGCATAGTTTTATGCAATAATATTCCATTCTATTAAGCTTCTTAATATTAAGATTCAAGCATAAAGCCCCCCGCCCTTATGGTACATACAGTAATGATACCTTCTTGTAATTGATGGCAATTTAGATTAATAGAATTCATTAGTAGTCAGATCTTTAGTATGAATATAAGGTCCTTTTGATTTGTTTCCCTCCTTAGTTTATCTCTGGTTATTTTTCCCTTCCCTCTGTGCTATAGGGAGTTACTGAAAATTACTCCCATTTGCCTTATTTCACATTTCATACTTTCTTGCATGTGCTATTTAAGTCTTCCTTTCCTTCATATAACTCATTTAAGATTCAACTATCTTATGAAGCTTTTTTTTTTATTCTACCGGTCATTGCTTATTACTGTATCTTATACATACCACTGTTACARAATTCATCTCACAAATTATTTGTAAGAATTCTTTCTTGCCTTTAGATTGTAAGAGAGCAGGGATTATTATATACAAAGTGCTTGGCTTATAGATGCTCAATAAATAGTATGTTTGTTGACTGATTTGTTTAAAAAAAAAGCCTTTTGGTTGTAGAAAGATTTTTCAGAGACTTTCTTCTAAGGATTCAAGAAAAACACAAATGCAAAACTTATTTATGTGATTTGTTTCTTGTGTATTCTTTGACTTGTGTTCCTTTGTCTTAGTGAATTGACTTTACCTTTGACTCAGTTAAGAAGGAGACAGCTGTTCATAATGGGAATTTTAAGAAATTATCTTAAGCCAAAGTATTAGTTCTTTTGTATTTTACTAGTAATAAAGCTAGATAGCAGGATCATTTATAAAAATCCATGCTAGGAAATCAAGAATCAAAAATTAGGTGTATCTCATCTGGTTCGGGCCCGTTGGATACAATAAGCAGTAATCTTGTGTTGGTTTTTTCATTTCATTTTATTCTATTATTGTAAAAAAAAAAATGGAATAAAAATAATAGAAAATTATCTTATTTTTAAAAGTTTGTCATCATGTACTAAGCATTGTATACACAATATACTGTATATATGGTTATTAAATTCTGCCTTTTCAATTTTGTATTTCAAGTTTCTCAGGTTTTTATTTGTGTTTTTATGTGTGTGTATATGCTTCCATCAAATCCACAGTTTGCTTCTTATATGCCTATTATTAGACTTAAGGTTATGTGTACTAAATTTTAAGCTCACATTTTTATTGAGGTTTTTAAATGAAAGTTTAAATTTTTTTTAACCTAAATTATTGCCAATTCCTTAAATATAAGGAATTTTAGAAAATAGCACCTTGGATTTTTTCTTTTTCCTTTAATGAAAGATTTGTCTAGCTAGGAAAAAAAATTAAAAATTGTCACAGTAGAGTGGGCTTGTTTATGTTTTTCACATTGCTTGCCTGGGCTTTAGCAGAAATCTCCTTATTTAGTTTTGATATCTTTAGTTCATCATTTATGCTGCCACTGTTGTGACTACTCATTTCACAATTTTTCAACAACTCTAGTTTACCTAGGATAGATTTTACCACCTTTGTGTGATGTATGAAATCTTTGTGTCTTTCCAATCATGTTTCCCTTTGTGTTCTTCCATTAAGGTACTAACCATTTTGAAACGAATAGTTTCAGGGGTTTTTTTTTTTTTTTTTTTTTTTTTTTTTTTTTTTCCTTCTCTAGATTTTAAGCTCCTGAGGAGCAGGAGCTCTTATTTAGTTTAGTATTTTCATTACTCAATACAGTCTCACACTGTTCTCAGTACACTCCCCCCCCCCCATTTCTCTATCTCTTCCTGCTTTAAGCTACAACAATAATGAGCTTTTAACAGCTCTTCATCTTACACTTAATTTTTCATTTCTTCACAAGCCCTTTACTTCTTACTTTTGCACAGGTTAAATGGAACCTGCTTCCAGAATAATCTTTAGAAACCTTGTTTTGACTCCTTTAAGCAGAATTCTTAACACTGTTTGCCTCAAGGCCTTCTGTGTCATTTACACTTGTCATTATGGCATTGACTATTTTCAGTTGTGATAGTCTTCTATTGCATTATAAAGCTCTAGTAGAACTCACCAAGAGCTAGGACTTTTTTGGAGGAAAAAAAAATCTTTTCATTTCACTGCCTAGTATAGTACATGTGGTTATATATGCAATTAACTATTTACTGGATAAATAAATGAATTAATGAATTGATTAAAGGTAAAACCATACACATCATGGTATTTTTTAGATATAAATCTTGTAGCACTTAAAATTATATTGTCAAAAATAAGGTTAAAATTATTAGTGCATACAGTAAAATTGAAGGACCCTAATGTGTTGCATCCAGGTTAGGAGAGGTGAATTTTCTTATTCAACAACAAATAGAGCAAATAGTTGGGAGCAAAATGATTTCAGTCTGGTATGGTTATGAGATAAATATTTTTGGTTTTTTGTCTCCTTTTCAGTACCAGTTTCTCATAATCTCTATACTGGTATTTTGGGGGAATTTATTTAATCACAGAACACTGGATTATTCTTATCAGGTTGGAAGCATCTTGAAGGCTTATAGTCTCTGATATCCCAAAATTCTCATACTCTTCCAGACTTAGGCTGATTCGTGTTTTGTATATCATTGAACACATCTACTCTGGTACCTCAACCTAAATGTTACAATTCTTTCATTTCTTTTGGAGTTTAGTAACTACTTTAAATTCAGTATCCAACCTTTTCTCCTTGAGGAAAATGACTTACTTTCAGTAAACTATTTAACCTCCTGTTAACCCCCTTTAAAAATGTTACAGTATCTTAAAGTTGGCATTAAGTATCAGAATTTTAGAACATGAAGGAACTTGAGATATTGGTTTACAAAATTTTTTCTAACTTTGGAAATAATTAAATGGTTCTTTGTAGTAGTGTTCTTGTTTCTTTTATTAAAGGTTTATTTCCTCTTCTAATTGCATCCCACCTACAAATACAAATGAGTATATTTCCTCATCTGCTGGATTAAAAGAAAGTAAAATTCAGGAGAAGGAGTGGGTTGGGTAGTTCCTTGTTATCCATCAGGAAGGAAAGGAACATTACTTTACACCTAGTATTCTTCAGGTTGGCTCCTTTTCAATCAGATAAAGCTGATCATTATCAAGTCTACAATGGAAAAAGAGGAAAATTGCACTTATTCAATGTAGTGAATCTGTATATTCAACTATTTTCAGCAAGAGTGCAATACATGTCAGCTTCACAGCTGACTTTCATGTCACTATCTTTGGAATTTCCTTTTATATCCCCTCCATCATAGATCCTTTGCCCAGGGGTGGGCAAATATGGTTTGATTAGAAAGAATGGGGAATGATCCAAATATTTGGTTAAAAAGAGATCAAAAGACAAAATATGAGTATTGTTTTGTTTATTCAGTAAAACTTATTGGTGAAAAGAATGTATTCTGGGAACATCATTCTCTTTTAAAAATATCACTGGATGTATAGTAAGAAATCATTTTGGGYACAAATCTCATGAAATTATTTTAGACATTCAATACTAGAAAAAATGATGCCATGAATACAGAATAAGATTGTATCAATTTGTGGAAAACACATTCCAGGTGAAGCTGGATTGCAGGTTGAGGTTAAAGGACTGATTAGTAGTACAGTGAACAAGGCCAGACAGTGAGGGCAACCCACTTGCAGATCATCTGGCCCTAACGATCTTCCTCACTTCTGGGGTTAAAACTGTTACCACTTACTATCTTTAGACAAAGCTGAGTATGGTGCTAAGACTGAAGTAGTAAAGCAGGATCTGGGTGGCTGATAATTTAGAAAGAAGAAGGGGCCTGCAGC